ACAAAGCACGTTAGGTGCAAGGGATAGTTGGATTGCACTCAATGCATCCCCTTCAATCTTCTCATTTCGGGAGCTGATATATCCTTAGGATACTTTCCGTCAATAATATGGATTGAACCTTCCCTCCGCAGTAACGCCATCATCTAGATCTTCCAGATATTGAAGTTGTTGCGTCCACTGAATCTACCAATTTCAAACTTCATGGAACTCATCTTTGCTTGTTCTTCCTCCTTGGATTGTTAAAGAATCCTGTTGCTCTGATACCAATTGTTAGCGGAAATGTAAAAGAAAGAACACAAGATTTAACGTGGTTCGGATCAAAATAATCCTACGTCCACCAGAGAACAGTTGCCTTTTTAATATTAACAAAGGAAGGGGAGAGTTCCCAATTACACTTAAGAGAATTTCTCTCTTAACTCTCTACTCACTACAATGTGTTGTATTATTTTTGGGATGGTTTCTACAAATGAAGGAGTGCATCTATTTATAGAGGTAAAGACCTCCTCTTGATGTTATTGGTGACATCAAACTACCTCCTCTTGATGTCATGGGTGACATCAAAGGAGGAAGCTTCCTCCTAGCATCCACACCAATTCTTTCCACCAACTCTTCCAATTGGCATGCCATTATTGACTAAACATAAACCAACACCTTCAGTTTATAAAGGAGATTTTCTTTATTGTAAAGGTAGAAATTATTTTCTCACAAGAAAAGAAAGTTATCTTTTTACTATTTTAAGAATTAAGCATACGAAAATTTGTACGCTTTATATGAGATTAGGAAAATTATAAGTTGAGAAAATATATGTATTTTTATATGGATGTTTTAATGAAATAATAGTGTTTGTATTTATTTTATATGGTACCACATGACCATAATAGTAAGATGTATAAAATGTGTTAAAAGTAAGTAGTATTTTAAGTAAGTTAAGATAATTCTTAATTATGTGAATAATTGTGTAATTAATAAATTTTAGTGAGAGATTATTTAAGAATATTTGGATAAAGATGAAGCCCCTAACGTGGTAGCAGGATTTGGCTCAAATAAGTAACTATTACATCATTAAATACGCGGCAACATTTAAAGAGATAAGAACCTTATCTCATTTGGTGCAAATGTGTTATCGAGAAAGCAAAGTACGGCCTAGTCATTTCCTTTCTTGTAGAGAACAACATCCATTCTTAATTAGTTACATCTTTTCATAAGTTTTAAAGTGTTATGCTAAGATTTACAAAGTGACTCTTATATGACTCTTCTACAAAGTAAGATTGAATGATGTGATTGAACATACTATTCGTCAGAATAAAATCATTGAGTTTGTAGTTCTTGGATTAGATTTCAATAGCTTCTGTTTTAACTTATGTTTAGTTGAGGTGTAAGAAGAGGGTTACGACTTACCAGGACTAGAGTGAATGTTGAGGAATAAATATAAGGGAAGTAAAAGAAGAGGTGGGGTAAATTTGGAAGGTTTATGTATCCCTACAAGGTAGCTTTTTTAATTGTAACCCCTCCATGGTAGCTTATTAAATCCTTCCGAAACTAAATGGAGAGGAGTAAGTATGCCACTTTTGTTCACTTCTTACCTTTCCAACCTTATCAGACAACTGAGTGCAATCTTTCTCAAGAATATCATACGAATTTTTTTCTACTTCGATCCGTCATTATGTATTGTCACAATTGACGTGTGCTAGAGGGATTGTCAAGAGAATCGGCTCAGGTATGTTAAGGCTATCCCTTTTTTCTTTTTGGCATGATTTATACGACACAAGCAAAACGAGCAAATGCACAACTTCAATAAATTACTCTATTCGTAGAAATGCTACAGATGTGTATATTCTTATTCTCCCATGTGTCATGTTATTCTATCATCTATTCATGGGTCTCAAAAATACGTAAGTTGATAAAGTTTGTTTCATGATATTAATCAGAGGCACAATGGTCTTATGACGTACCGAGATATTTTATTAATGTATTTCATAAAGGTTTCAAGTTGAGCAGGATCAAGATAGAATACTTGGAGTGTAAGTTCAGCGGAGAGAATCAAGGAGGGGAAGGGGAGGTAAGGCTGGACTCGCAGGTCATCCCCAGGAGAGGAAGTTTTAAGTACATTGGGTCTATTATTCAGGGGATAAGGAGAGTGATGAAGATATTGCACATCGTACTAGGGGAGGATGGATAAAATGAAGACTCGCTTCCGATATTTTGTGTGACAAGAAGGTACCACCGAAACTTAAAGGTAAGCTCTGCAGAGTGGTGGTCAGGCCAACAATATTGTATGGGGCTGAGTGTTGGCCAGCCAAGATTGCTCATGTCCATAAGATGAAGGTAGTAGAGTTGAGGATGTTGAGATGGATGTGCGAGCACACCAGTTTAGATAGGATCAGAAATGAGGTTATTCGCGACAAGGTGGGTGTGGCCCCTATTGAGGATAAGATGTGGGAAGCGCAGCTTAGGTGGTTTGGTCATGTGAGTAGGAGGAGCGCAGACGCTCCGGTGAGGAGGTGTGAGAGGTTGACATTGGAAGGTCTACGGAGAGATAGAGGTATGCCATAGAAGAGGTAGAGAGAGGTGATTAGGCAAGACATGGCGCAGCTTCAGCTAACCGAGGACATGATCCTTGATAGGAAGGTATGAAAGCCGAGGACTAGGGTAGTAAAGTCGGTAGTCTAGAGTGTTCATAACAATAGTATTGGTATGCAGTATCGCTTTCGGTTGGAAATAAGTTTTTATGACTAACTGTTATTTTCTTTTATTGTTGATCACTTTACTACTTGTTGTTTTTATTTTGCTTTTATATGGCTTTTTGATACTGTCCCTTCTTGTCTATATTTTCATTAATGTGGTGCTTATGCTCTCCTGAGCCGATGATCTATTGGAAACAACCTCTCTATCTTCACAAGGTAGGGGTAAGGTTTGCGTACACACTACCCTTCCTAGACCTCACAGTGTGAGATAATACTGGGTATGTTATTGTTGTTGTTGGTCTTAAAAGCTTAAAGGGTAAAATATTTGTGAGACCATGACATTTGTGTAATTATAAAAACTTCTCATTAAGAGTAAAATGGATAAAATGAAGAGTTTAATGTTGAATTATTTTTAAATTTAAAAATGTGTCATTTATTTTGAAACATACTAAAAAAGAAAGTATCTCATCTAATTTGAAACGGAGACGGTGGGAGTATTATTTTCCATATGGTATATATAAGCACATCTACGTGTACTAGCTGCCGGATTTATGATATATTTTCTAATACAGTTGATCTTCTCTCTCTATCCCAACTTCCTCCTTTTGACTGAGCTTTATCCGTCAAGTTTTTACAATCTTCTTACAAATAAAATGACTTTAAAGGTTAAAAAAACTAGTATTTGACAAAAGATAGTACTAATAGAGTACAATATAAAATGAGGCAGAACTCTTTAGGGCAAATTAGTCCAATCAACAACTCATTAATCATCATTCGTCTCACTAATACGGAAACGAACTTTCCAAGAGACCTAAACAATTGCACGATATAAGTTAGCCAGTGGGGTTATTCAAAGGCAAAAGGTTTGACCTTTCTTCCAGGTTTGACATAGCGGTAAATATTCAACCTCCTTTCATCAGTTGTTTTCCTGAGTTAACTTTCATTTGGTAAAAGCTACAAATCGAGAAAATGAATTACTACCTGTTGTCCTTCTAACTTATTTTCTCTTTCAAATAACATTACAAGACCCCATTCACTTCAATAGCAATAGGGGTGAGTGCGTGGGAGTTTCTCTCGTTCTCTCATACAGCAAAGAACAAACAGATTGAAGCTTCAACTTCTCATGGACGTGGATTGGAAAGGCAAATAAAAAGCAATCCAATCTAAAATAGCTCGAGTCTCCCTGAACCATCTACAAGCTCGGTTAACTTTTGTGAAGCAGCAGCTAATGTCTCCTCACTTTTGCAGAACGCAAATCTGATATACCTCCTGTGGTAGCTAATAGCAGTCGAAGAAAAGTCTTCTAACGATGACGAATTGGTGTGGAAGAATACACGGCCTGGTACAGCCACCACCCCAGCTTGTTTAATCAATTCCTCCACAAATTCAACCTGGAGTGCCTTGAGTTTATCATTACCACAACTTAAACATATTAAGAACGCCAAAATAAAATGCTTTGTCAAGTTCTTACAGGCCACACTAAGACGTAAAAACTTTATCCAAAGTATGAACCTATTGCTGGTACAGCCGACCGGCAATAATCACTCAATGTACATGTATATTAAAGTTCTATTTATGCTTTCAAATAAAGTTTTAAATTTTGATTATCAGGGCAAATGATCAACTAAACCCAACTTCAGCTTCTGTAAAAAATAAAAAACTGCCAAAAAATAAGTAGAATCTTCATACAAGCAGGACCATCCGATGTTTGACTGTTCTTCGCACAAGCAGAGGTTAAGACTTAAGCAAGTGGAAAAGTCTGGTAAATAAACTGATATTACGGAGCCAAATATACTTTGAGTTCAAACTTCATTTACTGATATTATGGAGCCAAATACACTTTTGAGTTCAAAATCCGCTAATTTTGTACTACTCCATAAGTAAAGATTAAGATCCTCTTAGGTGGACAAATTTCAAGTAGCATTTCTGGGTTGAGCTAAGTACCAAATCTTAACAAAGTACAGTCCTATCACCCTTCCTTCTCTTCCTCCAACCCCCC